GGCAGATGGAACAGGCTAAGCAAACATCTGGCATGTAAATCTGAGGGGTAAACGGGCAAGACATGCAAAAGAGAAGAAGCAGCAGCAGTAAACTCTCATTGGCGTGTTATATACGCTCCTCTGATCACAGGGTCACTAAAGGTGTTCGCTTTCCAAGATATCGGCATCGCCTGTCAAAAAACCCATATCGGTCGACCACTAGATAATACCATAGTATTTTGATTTATACCATGGAACTGAATGATTATGACATTCATCTACTATGGTATTTACAAGATTCTCTAAAAATACCATGGTTTTACATGGCATAAGTGAGCTGAGTGAAGGGCAAAGGTCAAATCTTGGGTGTCTGTCAACAAGGTTCAAATAATTGGTTTCCTTTAATGCTGATAAGATTAAACACCAAATGCTAATTAATGATTAATAAGTCCCGGCCATAGTCAACTGGTCCAAGGGAACATCCCATCAACAAATGGTTTAAAACTTTAACACCTTTAAAAACAGACAACATACTGTACATATGCATGAGCTACTAGTCCAACCGGCCAAACAGAAACTAAATCCTGATTGTAGAGGACTGAGATTTTAAGGATTCTTTAAGGATCAACAAAGCATTTAAAGACCAGAGAATTTGGATGTTTGCTTTGAAAGGGAAGCGGCTGTGCTGTAATCCCTCTGGCCAGGGCGGATCACTTTCCTGAACTGTGGGTGACGGTGGTCTGCTGAAAACACTGATTTACTACAGCCTAAAGCAGTTTCACTCTCTGAGGTCATGGGAGATCAATTTAGAGGTAGCATGTAACGAATCAATGAAACGAGAGAACAGAATGAACAATGACAGCTGAATTCTGCAGAAATCTGTGATGCTTTCTTTGGAAATCTGGGCCTGTTGACTTATTTCCTCATGTGACATTTACAGAACGTTAGTCAATATTGAAATACTTCAGATGCAACAGTGTTGTGTTAAACTAAGCCAGGGATTCCCATTTTTTTATATATTATTTATTAATTTAATTTAATGTAATGTAATTTTTTAATATTTTAATTTAACTTAATTTTATTCATTTTGATCATTTAATTTAAAATTTTAATTTAATTTAATTTAATTTAATTTATTAATATTTTATTTTTAGGATTTAATGAAATATTAGCTTTTCATCAACTCATAATCCCCTAAATTTCCCTCAAAAACCTGTTTGGAAAACCCTGGCTTAAATGAAAGAGGATATACTCATTTGAAGCTTTCAATAAACGTATTCATCAACCAGATGGCGTTTGGTCAACCAATGCATTTTGCGGTCAAATATTTCTGCGTAATATCTCTATACTGCATAACTGGCTGCTTAGTTATTATGGATGAAGAATTTCACATTGTCTCTTGAGGAGTGGCAACCTGAATTACTGCTCTGCCAGATGACGACACAAACAACACCAGAGCAATTAATGCAATCTGAACCCGCCTGACAGGAGTTCATTTAAACTGTTCTGATGCATTAATCTAAACCCCACGTCCCTCGGTTGGCATTCAATTTCCACCATGCCGATTAATGAGCCCTACTGTATGAACTACTTCTTGCCATCTTCAGGCTGTGAGACTTGGCACTCACTCTCCATGATGAGCACTTATTAATAATGAACAGACTCTGAAACATTAATGCTTAACCCTTGCAGAGGCGCCAATTCATTTGGACAGATGGATTGAGATGTAAACTGTAGATACTGTCGACAAGCAGAGGAGCCAGACTGAACACAGGCTGACTGTGAGACCCGACGTATGCAGAGGACAAAGCCTAACCAAAAAAGCAGCATTCAGTCACAGACTCTCAAGGGCCAAAGGGTTTAGGACAATTAAACCTGATACTTGGAAATCAAGTCAAATTTGCTCTAAAACAAGTGAAAACGTCAAAAGGACAAGTAAAAAACTTAACAGTGAATAATTACTTAAATTTCTCTTCCTCAAACAAACATGTGAATTTCGAAAAATTGACCCTTATGACTGGTTTTGAGGTCCATGGTCACATATATAGTATGACTTTAGAAGATTTATAATATAATATAATATATAACATTGCAGTGCATGGTCTTCTGGACTAATTTATGATTGACAGATGTGTTTTCTATGAACTGTTGTACAGAACAGATCTGCCTTTGTTTTTCAGATTTTCCTAAATAAATAAAGAAACCCCAGCATACAGCTTTGGGATGACACAAGGAGGAAAAAAATTACAGAATTTTTTTCATTTTGGAATGGAATGAGAACTGAGATGTCAAGGAAACGACACGCAGACGGCTTCAGACTCGTGCATCAGGAAGAAAGTAGCAGTCACGGCTAGTAAACTGAAACGGGAAGAAGCCTGCAACTCAGCATTTGCACATACCTGACCTCATCTTCCCTCTTCGCTAACATCCTCCTCTCCTCTTGCATCACACGCCTGCTGTATTTCCCCAAAACATCACAAGCACTGAAAACAATCGTCAGGTCATGCACTAACCGCCTCACCAACAACAACCCACTCAGGAAGTAAACATGATTTAATAAGCCATATTACACTAATCAAAACAACGCTAAGCATTTAATTGCACAGGCCCAGTGCAGTGTGGACTCTCAGGTCAGTATGTACTTTAATTAGCACTACGTCAGGCGTCTAACTGACACTGTCCACTGTAAGGTATCAGTCGATGGCAAGCATGTAAGAATCTCAGGTTACCACTGTCCTAGTCTCAGATGGCGCACAATGGCATGAAAACATGATGCACACGATGGCAAGAGCTGATTGGCTGATGCTGCACAGCTGCCAGGCGTTCCATTGGTCACTTCACATGTCAGTCTTCCTGCCTAAATGGACAGTTCTTGTCCGGATAAACTGCAGACTGGACCAGACTTCATGCTGACAGCAAGACCAAACACTGTTCTGATGTCTCTATCACAGTGTGAAAAGGAATATTTACTCTGGTAAATGAAGTAGCGTGAGAGCAGAGAAGAAAATGCCCCTGGGAAGAGTGTAATTGAGGGTCTCTCTGGGCCGATGAGCTCCAGGGCTCGCAAAATCACTATCCCGACGTCCCGGGGCTTTTGTGTTTTCCATTCGGGCTACCAAAATGTATCACCGCCCTGCCCGACGGGCTATCTTGAACAGTGATATAAAATTCCTTCCTTGATTTGCGTTGTTCACTAGCTTGTAGGGGTAAAACGGATCATAGATGAAAATTTGCACGTGTTTCTAAGTCTTGCCGATTTAAACATTCAAGCGTTTTAAACCATTCACGTGCATTCGGAGCTGCACACTCACTCAAAGCGTGCACAGAGAGCCGCGTTTCAGACAATGCGCGTACACAGAATTGATTCCTCTTTCGCATATCCTTGCATCTGAATGAACACATACACACAAAATTATCTCAAAATAACTCTCTCGGCAAGTATTCTTAAACACAGTCGGTTACGTCTTAAGTGAATGTAAACAGTGGTGAAAGAAATCTCAAGTGCATCATTATATTGGATTGCATTCGGTCTTAAAGGGGCAGCAGCCTATAAATACCTGCTGTTTCATAAGCGCCACCTGCTGTCAGAGAGTGACATTTGTGTCTCATTCACAAAGCTCAAATCAGACCATTCTGTTTTTGCTTCAAATTTTGAAATTATACATCTAACTGCAATCTAAATAACATGTATTTAGCATCTTTGTTTGGATCATGATTAAAATGCAGTGGTAGCCTCTGATTTTACATGAAAAAAGCACAGCCAAAGCCTTTTTTGAAGGCCAAAGCCAAAGTTTGTTTATATGAAGAGATTTATTTTATTTGTATTATTTAAATATTTGATTTGGAATTTGTTTAAAAATTTCAAGTTAGTTTTATTATTTGACTTATTCCAATTTCACAAAAAAAATGTGAGGCATTTTGTTGGAGAAATAATAAAAGGACACCTTTTCATTTATAATTTGTCTTAAATCTCATTTTGTTAAAAATGCATCGTGAATTGTATCGCATCGCATCATGAGTTGAGTGAATCGTTACATCCCTATATGCTACTAGTTTTTGCTGTGGTATCAAAGACGTATTCTGTTATTTAAATAATAAAAGAACCATATATTTTTTTGCTCATCTGCAAAATGATCCGATCTGTTAATCAGAATCTGATATGATAATGCAATATGATCCGAGCCGTGGGTTTTGTGATCCGTTGCACCCCTACTCTCTTGACTTGTTATTTGAAGAAAAAAAGCAATCACTGACGTTTTTAATCATGCTGATTTGTCCACAGTGAAGTTCAGGCGATGTCTTTTTTATTCGGGCTACTTAAATTCATTTTGGGCTACCAAAATCTGAAGAATGCCTGCCCGAAGGGCTACCAGCGATTTTGAAATTTTGCGAGCCCTGAGCTCACCGCACACCGACAAGCTGTCAGCTTGAAGACTTCATCACATTAAACGTCTAATTCACATGTACACTAGATAGGAAAATATTAATGCGCATAAATTCTGCAGGAGATTTTCTCAGAACTAACTTCACATTTCTGAGCCATTTTTACAATAATATAAACACTTTTTTTTATGTGTTACTATGACATATGAGTACTCATATCAACACATAACATATGTACACATAACACACACACATATATATAATATATAGTTGATCACAAAAAAATAATGTTATGATATTATATATCTATATTTTTTTACATTATAATATTTGATATTATAAATTACGACACTGAATATAAAAATAAAAATGTTTTAATTATATAATGTATGTATTATATAAAATTTCATAATAAAAATATTTTATTGTTTTATATTAATATACATCATAGTTGATCACACAAAATATGAAAACGCCACTGAATATGGAAATATAACACTTTTATGTTATGTTATTATATTATTTTTGATATTATAATGTGTGTGTGTACAGACAGACAGACAGACAGACAGATAGATAGATAGATAGATAGATAGATAGATCCCTGTGTCTGAATATAATAATATAATCATACTCACCCAATTTCATCAGTGAAGCCAGCAGAACCCATAATGAAATCTCGAAGGGGAGCTGGACGTGTTCATAATCGAAAGACAGAACCGGGAAGGGCTTCTTGGAGTAAGTCGTTCCGTTCCCGTTCTTCGCGTCCCCGGGATCCTTGTTGCCGTGGGATCCGCCGTGACCGGTGCCCGTGTCTGGAGAGCTGGCGGCCCCTCCGAGGGGCATCAAACTGCCCACCAGGAGCCCCAAGACAAGGATGAACATCTTGAGCTCCATGTTTCAGAAGATCAGAGGACTCGAGCCTCTCCGGATACACGGGTAACACGGTATTATCTGAGCAGGGATGTTTCGTTTTAATCTACTAGTTAATTCCTGGATCATTTTCTGACTTCGGACTGACTTAAATCTAAAAGCATCTTGGGTTTCCTACTTCCTGGCTTGAGTGAAGCACTTAAACCGAGCAGCGCACCCTCTCCAGGTGAAGACAGCAAACCAGGAAATATAGACAGGCATGTGTGTGCGCGTGTGTGTGTGTATACCTGCATATAAAACAGGAAATATATGCAGGTATATAAGCTCAACTCAAATATTTGGTGTGAGAAGATTCCCTGAATGCATTACACTATAAGGTACAACTGATGTTCATTTTCTTCCTCCATCATCATCATCAAAGGACACTCAATGACAACTCCAAAACACTCCTCATCAAAACAGCCAGTCCTCCAATCACGTTTTCCGCATCTCGGTCGCTTGCTCTTCTGATAACACCCGAGCCTGCTGCGTCCTGTCCCGGTGCGCACGACGAGAAAAGTCGCTCGAACTACAGATGTCGGTGCTGTATTCGCGGCTCCTCGGCGCTCCACAAAGAACTTATTCGACGTCTTTTTACACATACACACCGACTCCTTTTTCCATGCCTGCAGTCAGTGCGTGATGCAGAGCAAATATACGTACCCCTCTAAGAACACACCCTTTGGGCAGGTTTTGAGCAGTCACTGGGAGGGGTCTCTTCCTTGGACTGCAGCGGCATCCAGTGGAGAGGAGGTAGGGTTGCCAGATCGCGTGTTTTTCCGCCGATTTGGGGATTCGTTAAAGAGGTAGTTCGTGTAAAATAAAATAAAGAAACGAAAGAACATTCTGTAAACATTTACTCACATTCATGTCGTTTCAGACACTTTACTCCTTTTTCTTTCTTCAATGGAGCACTAAAAATGGTCAGTCTCTTTCATACAATAAGCGAATGGGGACTGGTGCTGTCAAACTTGAGGGAAAACAAAGAACCATAGTAGTCAATATATTTCCTCCTATTACTCACACTCGTGTCGTTTCAGACCTGTATTACTTTCTTTCCTCGTTGAAATACAAAAATATTAGTCATTCTCTTCCTTATAATTTAAGTGAATGGGGACTGGCGTTGTCAAACATAAAAAAAAGCACTACAGTACTCAATATTTCATTCCTTTACTCACACTCATGTCATTTCAGGCCTGTATGGCCTTCTTTCTTCAATGGAGGACACACACACACACAAAAACAAACAAACAAAAACATAAACACACACACACACACGCACAAACATACAAACATACACACACACACACACACACACAAACAAACAAAAACATAAACACACACATGCACAAACACACACACACACACACACACACACAAACAAACACATAAACACACACACACACATGCACAAACACACACACACACACACACAAACAAAAGGTCACTCTCTTCCATATAATGAAAGTGAATGGGGATGGGTGCTGTCAAGTTTTACAATGACAAAAACACCACAGTAATCAATATATATCCTCCTTTTCCTCACACTCATGTCGTTTCATACCTGTAGGACTTTCTTTTTTACATTTAGCGCAAAAGTTCCTTATCACTCTTTTCTATATAATGAAAGTGAATGGAGACTGGTGCTGACAAGATTTAAAATGACCAAAAAAGCACCATATAGAGTGAACTGTAGTTCTTCTGAAGTCATATGAGAGCTTTCAATGATGAATAAACAGAAATCAAAGTCATTATTCACAGGAACCAATGCTTTGAAATGAAATATGGCAACGTTTAAACAGTTTAGACGTCATTGACAGTTGAATGGATTTTCAATAAATAACATTTGTTTTCAGTAAATAACAATTTTGCACATCACACAAAGCTTTAAATAGCATTCTATTTATTTTTAATAAATTTACACAATACTTATAACAAACAGAATTGCATAGTCTATGTTTAACGTCAGATAGAAGTTATCAAATATATAAAATACAGTGTTTTTCTTTTATATCACTCAAGAAACCCTTAAAGCATGTCCTGCTTCGGTTGAAATTTATAGAGTTTAAGTAGCACGCATGCAGGCTGCATCCGACAATAATGATCAAGTTCGATTTTATGTTAATACTTAATACTGATATGTTATATATAACATCTATAAATGCAAGAAAATCTAAATAGGCCTATGTATAATCTGAAGTCTCTGTTTTTGATTTCAAGGTGTGACGAGCGACGAGTTTCGTTATCGGTTTGTTATTGTCACGCAGATCTGGCAACCCTGCTTGCCATGACAGGATGATTCAGGCAATTCAACAAACTCATGTTTTACTGTTCACTCCTAATCCATTGTTAGTCATACAACACTAACTGTGTTGCTTTCCAAGAATCAGTGCGGTTCCCGCCCTCTATCCTGTTCGTCCATCACGTCTATATCGCAGTTTCACCGCACAGAGCCACTTGTCCTTCATTCTCAGCTGAAGGGGACTCAATAGATCCAAAAAACTGCAATGCAGCTCAGCACACAGTCTGGAATGTGCATTTTGCATCTAAATTACTGTTATTGGATCTAAGCCATATGACAAAGTGTTTTTAAATGAAACCAAGTGAACTAACATGCACCAAAATAGCCACGTGAGACCAACTAGTAGTTTCATAATCCTCTTGCTGACTTGTGACACGACTGTCTACAAGTGGAACCAAGTAAACAACTCAGATGACTATAATCCCGAGGAAGGAGAAGTTAAAACGTGTACAGAATTGGTGTACAGAAGATCTATTGTATCATGCATTTACCTGCATTGTTTTTATTGGGCATCATCAGACACACTAGCAATTAGTTTTGACCACCCACATGTATATTCACACAGATAGCATGTAAACGCTGTTATTCCTAAAGCAATAATGAGCATCTGATTGTAAATGATCTCTTACATATATCTTTGTCGTACTGTGCATCTAAACAGGACATCCTCCTTAGATGTTAATGAATAAACAATTAATACAGATGGGAACTGAAACCTGAAAGAAAAAGATGCAAAAGGCCACAAACATCTTCAAAAGGTCAGTGACTTCATTTGATCGTAATTCTTACTAAAACAAGTATGGCTTTCACACCAGAATTAATTAAGAAATTAAATATGTATTCATCTTTTGCTCAAAGAAGTTGTATTGTGTGTCCAGATGTTTTACATATGATCCTCAATATTTACATTTTTACTCTTTTGTGTTTTGGAATGAATGACCTTGTATATCATTCAGCGACAGCGCTTTATAATTTTAAAAACATTCATTTTGAATCAGTGTGTTTTAAATATCATACTTGCATGTTCTTTTTAATTTGATCTTGTGTATCATGCCAGGCAAAAATATAGCTGACCTCGTATTCAACCTACAACCAGTAGATCTCTGGACCTTGACTTGAACATTTAAGAGTTTTCTCTGCATCCTGCAATTGTCTGTTTTCTGTTGTGGCTGCTTGAGCTTTTCATCTGCTAAAATAGTTTCCCTGCGATTCCAAGCTGCATCAAATACAGGATATAAAGCTGCAAAGTGTTTTGATGACATCATGGACAATTATGACAAATGTTGCTTTAAACGAATGTCTCCAACAAACAACATGATTATATTCATGCTGTAATGTCTGAACAAACATCATAACAGCATTGATGCAATAGTTAATGACATTTAAATCATATACAACTACAAACTATTTCTCCTGCAGGGCTAATAAGGTTTTCACTTATATGCTTTGTTTTGTTTTAAGTATGCAGAAACAGTATGCAGCATGCAATGATAGCTGTTGAGCTGTTCATCACGCTGCGTGTTTATGCTGATTATCATCTAAACATGGTTATTTTGCACTTTAACCTTGCAAATATGTTAATGTTTGACTGTACGTTTTAGTTTTACTACGTTCGTTCATCACAATGGAAACAGAAGGTCACATTGAGTGCATTGCATTGTGGGAAACAGTAGCTATCTAAATGCAATGTGCATGCACTGTTAAATGCTTTACATTGTAACAGCATTGATGCAATAGTTAATGACATTTAAATCATATACAACTACAAACTATTTCTCCTGCAGGGCTAATAAGGTTTTCACTTATATGCTTTGTTTTGTTTTAAGTATGCAGAAACAGTATGCAGCATGCAATGATAGCTGTTGAGCTGTTCATCACGCTGCGTGTTTATGCTGATTATCTAAACATGGTTATTTTGCACTTTAACCTTGCAAATATGTTAATGTTTGACTGTATGTTTTAGTTTTACTACGTTCGTTCATCACAATGGAAACAGAAGGTCACATTGAGTGCATTGCATTGTGGGAAACAGTAGCTATCTAAATGCAATGTGCATGCACTGTTAAATGCTTTACATTCATATGCATACTGTGCACAGTGAATAGTAAATATAGCATGGTAGTGTGCTATTTCATAGCCAAGAGAAGCTCTGGAAATTATTACTTCACCTGCCCACAACAAAAACGAATTGTGCCAAACGTTTGAAAAAGTCTGTTAAAGAAAAATTACAAGAAGTACTGAAATGTAATTTACAGAACAACCCAATCATTGTAGGCTAATGAAAATGTGCTTGAATCGCATCCAGCAGTCAAAAACTGAAGAATAACTGCATAACACACACTGGTCCAGACATGCTTTGTGTGTGTGTGTGTGTGTGTGTGTGTGTGTGTGCGTTTTTGTGACAAATGAGGACATAAATTTGTATAATGACAAGGGTATGACATAGGTATTACAAGGAGAAGGTGACTTTTCAGGACATTACCCCATGTCCCCACTTTTCAAAACGCTTATAAATCACACAGAATGGAGTGTATTGAAAATCTGAAATAGCACAAAGTTTCCTGTGAGGGGTAGGTTTAGGGGTAGGGTTGGTGTAGGACAATAGAATATACGGTCTGTACAGTATAAAAACCATTACGCCTATGGGATGTCCCCACTTTTCACAAAAACAAACCTGTGTGTGTGTGTGTGTGTGTGATGTGTGTACAGGTTTATATATCCTGGTGGGGACTTAAACCTGAATACACACAGACTCATGGGGACTCGGTGGGGACCTAAATTGTGGTCTGAAGAATGAAGTTTTTTGAAAATCTAAAAATGCAGAAAGTTTACTGTGAGGGGTAGGTTTAGGGGTAGGGTTGGTAAAGGGCAATAGAATATACGGTCTGTACAGTAGAAAAACCATTACGCCTATGGAGAGTCCCCACAAGGATAGCTGACCAGACTGTGTGTGTGTGTG